TGACTGAAACCACACTGCTGCCCACACACATGCATGCCCACGGCCATTACATCCAACTTTGCCATCGCTGGCCACTCTGGAGTTCCTTTTGGGTTCACAGGAAGGTTGAGTCAAGAGCAATAGCCAATTCAATGACACCCCGCGGGGTTTTTGTGGCGCTGTTTCTCAGGTGTCCCTGGATAGATTTTACACTGATTCCTTTTCCTTGTACTCTGGTAAAATAGCCTGACACAAGCAGGCCCATTGCTGGAACACGCCTTTAATCTCTGCGTGAAGCAGAGGTGCATACAAGGTCAGACTGATCTACACAGTGGGTTCTAGGACAGCCAGAGATACACAGAGACCCTGTCTCAAAAACAACTATCACAGAAAGCAGCTTAGGGAAGGAAAGGGCTACCCTGGCTCACAGTTTACTATCCATGTGGCAGGGCCATAAAGACAGCAGGTGCTTGAAGCCGACGGTCACATGATACCCACCATCAGGAGCTCCAACGCTGGCGCTTGGCTCACAGTGTCTCCTGCAATCCAGGAGCCAAGCCCAGGGCATGGTGCTACCCTCTGGCAGCGTGGGTCGTCCCCCCTCAGTTAACTTGTTCCACACCGTCCCTCACAGGGGTCCCTGGAAACTCGTCTCCTAGGTGACACCAGGTCCCATCACTAGTGGCTTGGTTGTGTTTCTTTGGTTTCCTGCAGTTAGCACATTCTCCAGTACTTGCTTGGCTTTGTTCTTCATGGCAGTGGTATTTGGACTTGAGGAAAGGCGGGGGGGGGGGGGAATAACTCCTACCAAAAGGGGGGAAGAGGTTGTTTATTCTGTAGAAAAACAGCCTAGGAACATGGGGTAAGGTTACCCCCAAACTCCGTGCCGCTATATAACTTCACTGACGTTTTTACTGTCACAAAGCAAACACTGTCATAGATCAACACGCTTTTCAAATCCTTCAGTGGGGTCATCTAACAAGGCAATTAATTGGTAGATCCAGTGGGGTGATCTAAACAAGTGATTAATTGGTAGATCCAATGGGGTGATCTAACAAGGCGATTGGCAGATTCAGTGGGGTGATCTAACAAACAAGGCGATTGGCAAATCCAGTGGGGGTGATCTAACAAGGTGATTGATTGGCAGATCCAGTGCAGTGATCTAACAAGGCGATTGGCAGATCCAGATGAATTAGCTCTTAGGGAGAGGGCCACAGTGCAGAATGTTCATTTGGGGACAACAGAACGTTGGTTCCTGACCTGGTTTGGTTTGATTTTTATGGATTTTTGCCTTAGTGTATGTCTGTGCACACACGCCTGCCTGGTGCTAATGAAGGCCAGAAGAGGGTGTCCGAGTCCTTGGAACTAGAGCTATAGATGGTTGTGAGGCATGGTGAGGATGCTGGGAGCTGAACCCAGGTCCTCTGCGAAAGCAGCCAGTGTTCTTAAGTACTGAGTTATCTCTCTGGCCCCGGATTCTACTCTTTGGACCAGAAACCGGGAGCTTCTCCTGAAAACTCCATCTTCTCGTATTGTGTCTGGGAGGCGGAGCCCAAAGCCGCTGGTGAGGACAGAGACTATGGATGCCTGCCTGTCTGCCCAGCACTTCAGCGTGTTGATTCCTAAGCCGGTCCTACTGGTGGAGCCTGCTAAAGTGGAGCTTAGGAGCCACTGTCCCCACAGCTCTGTGAGTGGAGCCCCCAAGTGGACACTGCACAGCAACACGCTGGTGCCGGAAGCCATGCCGTTCATATAAACATAACTAGGACTTGTGAATGCCAGTGGGTAAAAGCAATCCTGTCGGAGGAATTATGCAATAGGATTTTAAAAACTCAGAAGAATGTTCAAACTGGTCCCTTGCTGTTTCAGAATCTAAGTGATCACAGTGCAAATGACCCCAGGGCTGAAAGCTCTGCTCCCGGACACATTTACACACTTGCAATGTACTTTCCAGACTGTGGTGTGGATAGCTCCAGAGACAAAACCAAGATGCCCCGCTATGTAAAAATAAAATAAAAGGGTTCCTTTGTGCACAGCTGTGTCCACTTACGATTGTTTCTTAGGGGTTGTGGACATAACTCGGAGGTTAAGAGCCCCGGCTCCTCTTGCAGAGGGACCACTGGGTTCCCTGCACCTCCAGTTCTGTGGATCTGAGGCCCTCTTCTGGCTGCCGTGAGCACTGCATACACACACGATGCACACACATACATGAAGCAAAGCATTCATAAGGATAATCAGTAAGTTTTTGAACTAGGATCTAACTATGTAGCCCTGGCTTTCCTGGAACTCACTATGTACAGCAGGCTGTCTCTATCATCCTGCTGGGATTAAAGGTGTGTGCCACTTGCCCAGAAAACATTTTAAGTAAATGTTTCTTAATGTAAAGACGCAATAAGTGGGGGATAGGAGAGGAAGACGTCAACATGGACCAGAGGGAATCACAGCATGTTCCCTAGGACCAGGGGAGAGCATCCCCTCAATGCACTAACTTTCCCCTGGACCTTGGGGTTTTGTTGTCATTGTTCCTTTTTTATTTCTCACTCTTCTCTTAGGGTTTTTATTGCTGAAGTGAAACACCATGACCAAAAGGCAACTTGGAGAGAAAAGAGTTTATTACACTTCCACATCACTGAAGGAAGTCAGGACAGGGTCAGGGCAGAATCCTGGAGGCAGGAGCTGATGCAGAAGCCACAGATGGTGCTGCTTACTGGCTTGCTCCTCATGGCTTGCTCAACATGCTTTCTTATAGAACCCAGGACCACCTGCCCAGGGATGGCATCACCCATCATGAGCTGGGCCCTCCCCCATTGATCACTAATTGAGAAAATGCCTTACAGCTGGATCTCATGGAGGCATTTCCTCAATGAGGCTTCTTTGTCTAGTGATTCTAGCTTGTGCCAAGTTGATACACAAAACCAGACAGTACAACTGTTAATAGAGATGTATATATGCTCTATCATAAATATGTTTTAATATATCATTAAATATGTTTAGTGATAGTAAATCATCAATATCTTGACATCTTAAATACATTTTAAAGTTTAATTTATACGTATGAGTGTTTTCAGCACCCACTTCATTTCTCTGAGCCATGCATGTGATTCCCACAGCTTCCCCCAGTTAGTGTCCTGGAAGACACTGTGTTCCCTGAGAACAGGCGTGCTCACAGGTATGAAGAACAAAGGTGTCAATAGTCCCACTTATTAGACAGAAAGAAATGGTAGCTAAAAGTGACTAGAAGCCTGCATTACAGGCCCACAGTTCCAACTTGAAGAGGAAGAGAAAAGCTGGTCATTCTCCACTCACCCACCTACACCCACAGTGACCCCTTATTTCTCGAGGGTTTAACCTCAAGTGGGAGGAGATTTTCTTCCTGGAAATTTGAAGACCGAGGCGTGAGTCCATTGGACAGGACAATCCCAGCACACGAGGGAAAACCCCATCAGGGTTCTCTCTGTGAGCGTGCAAATCAGCATGCAACAGCACACATACACACACACACACACACACACACACACACACACACACACACACACACCAGATACGAGGACCCAGCAAAGATTCCCGATGCTGCCAGCAGGTGGCAGGAGCGGCCAGCATCCAAAGGCTGAAGCTTTAAAAGAAAAGAAGCTCCTCCGGGGAGAAAAATCTCTGGGTTCTGGAAAGAACCAGAAATTGGCGTTTAGAACCATACGATCCACGGAATATCACACAAAGTTGAAAATAAAAAGGAACAATGGCAACAAAACTCCAAGCAGACAGAACCCCAAGGTCCAGAGAAAGTTAGTGTATTGAGGGAATGCTCTCCCCTGGTCTTAGGGTCAGGAGTCAGGCCCATGTTGAAGTCTTCCCCTCCGTCCCCCATGTATTGCACCTTTAAATTAGGGACCCTGATTTTATGCACGCATGTAATTCCGGATCCTGGAACCTGACTGCAGAACAATAAAGAGTCCCCAGAGGACTCTCAGTGCAACGGCCCCCTTCCCGTGCTTTGTATACAACGGCCCCATTTCCTTCTATACCATGCCAGGAATTCCTGAGGGCCACTAGAGGTGCCACAGAGGTCTTGGGGTCTTAGTCTCTTTATAAGAATTTAAAGATGGGAGCAGTGGTGTTGCACGCCTTTGATCCCAGCACTCAAGAGACAGCAGGAGGGTCTCTGTGAGTTCAAGGTCAACTTGGTCTACTTAGCTAGTTCCAGGTTAGCTGGGGCCACACAGTGAGAACAGATTGCAAAAAACAAAGGAGGAGGAGGAAGAAGAAAGGGAAGGAGGGAGAGATTACTTAAGAACAGACCCACAAGAACAGTTTTATTTTTAAAACTTTAAAATTGAAGTTTAAAATTGAAGCACCAGGGCATTGAGCTGTAAATCTCCGCTTCTACTCAGAAGAGAGAGACAGAGAGAGAGAGAAAGAGAGAAGCCATACCAGTTGAGTTAAACGGGCATGAAGGTGAACAACATGTGGGCAAACAGCCACGCTGCAAGAAGGAAGCTTTAGAGAGAAGCCAGGTGAGTTAGAGACATGGAAAGGAGAGGACAGCGTTCGCTAATCAGAATTATTCCGACATGCAGAAGCTGTGAGCTGGGGTTCACGTGTGGGAACTCGGGGAAGGAAAAGTACCTCATCTTATTCAAGGGATAATCATTTCTCCTATCTCCTGAGCATGGTTTAAAGGTGGGTCTGCCTTCCTGAGGGTGGTCCCTCAGCTAGGCGATGACTTTCCCTGCTGAAGTGTTAGGTCCCCACCCAGGTCCCCTGATACTGGCTCTGCAGTCAGGGCCAAGGGTGGGAAGCTGCTGTAACTTCCTCAATACACGGGGATCTTTCCCATCAGAATAAAATTAAAAACTTCATTCATTTCCTTATGAGCTCATGGTTCCTTGAATCAGGTACCTCACAAGAACACCGAAGCCCGCCTCCTGCCACTTTTCACAACCCTTCCTGGAATGGTCACGGAAGGACAATTGTATTTGGGCTCTGACTCTGGGTTTTTTTTTTTCACTCTGCATTTTTCTTAGGATGAAGACTTTGAAGAGCAGAACACCCCAGGAAACAGCGCAGTCAGGAGCAGATCCGTACAGAGCAGGGAACAAGGAGATGCCAAGCAGGTAAGGCAGGTGTGGAGGATGGTTGAGGAATTGTTGCCATGGTGATACTCCACCACCTGTGAATGAAGAGTGGTTAGTGTGTCTAAGGCAGTCATCCAGAAAGCACACATACTGTAAAGCAAGGCTTCACTTTTACAGACGGCCTCAGAGTTCCCTGAAAGGAAAACCAGCCCGAGGCACAAAGCCCAGTCTCAGGCCAGCATCTGAGGTCATCCTTGTAGCCCCAGCTACTCAGGGGGCAGAGGCAGGAGCAGGGCCAGCCTGGCATGAGACCTCCCGGCAGAAAAAGCAAGCACCTGAACGTTAAGGTGAAGGAGGCCCGTGAGATGCCCTCCCTTGGTTCCATGGAGCCCAAGAGACTCTTAAGGACTTTAGTTTGTATGTGTCTCTGTTTTAGATTGAGATTTATTGTTTTTATTTTATTGTTGTTTGTTTGGGGTGGGATGGGTCTCATGTTCAAGTGACCAACGCCGCCTTCAAACTCAATATGCAGCAGAGGATAACCTTGAACCCCTGACCTTCTTACTTCAGCATCCCAGGTAGGGGGGTGGCAGGCATGGGTACCGCATCTGGCAAGGACCTCTTTAGGTAGAATGTCTTCCGTTGCTGAAACAAAAGCAATTGCTCATATAAAACACCCGTTGAAAAGTAGTCCTGAGTCCCTGAAACTCGGGGAGAGATCGCAGACAACTGGATGGGGAAAGCTGTTTTTCCCATCCACGGGGAAGGAACTGGCGCATAGCCTGTGTTTATGCAAACGCACTTCTGTGCGCGTCGCCATGGGGATCACACTGCCCATCTTCGTTACTGCTTATCTCAGTTAATAATATCTCACTGCTGTGCCGTGTTTGTACCACTCTGTCCTCCAGCAAGCAAACAAGTCCACGTGTCAAAAGTTCATAATGGGCAAACCGTGGGAGCAGCCCAGACGCCCATCAGTAAAATGGATGATGCGATGATTTTCAGTACTGAAACAAATGATGGGGTGATGGGGAGAACTAGTGGAGCTGTTAGTGCTTACTACGGAATGAGAGAAGTCACTTTAAGATGGGGACACCACACCACCCCCAGCAGCAGCATCCTGGATGAGGCAAAGCCATGAAGGAGTGAAGAGATAGTGGTTTCCGGTGCTTAGGGAGAAAGTGGGGGTGAGCAACAGGAGTTTTAGGGCACTGAAACTGTTCTATACAATCCTACAGCAGTGAAGATCTTATCCAAACATAGATTGAGCGCTTCAGAAAATGACTCATGTATAATCCTGGGTTCTCTATAGAAATAAAACTCACAAAATGAGTGTGTAGATAGATAGATAGATAGATAGATAGATAGATAGATAAATAGATGATAGATAGATAGATAGATAGATGAATAGATGATAGATAGATGGATGGATGGATAGATAGATAGATAGATGATAGATAGATGAATAGATGATAGATAAAAGATAGATAGATAGATAGATAGATAGATAGATAGATAGATAGATGAATAGATGATAGATAGAAGATAGATAGATAGATAGATAGATGATAGATAGATGAATAGATGATAGATAGATGGATGGATGGATAGATAGATAGATAGATGAATAGATGATAGATAGAAGATAGATAGATAGATAGATAGATAGATAGATAGATAGATAGATAGATGAATAGATGATAGATAGAAGATAGATAGATGATAGATAGATAGATGAATAGATGATAGATAGGTAGATAGATAGATAGATAGATAGATAGATAGATAATAGATTGATTGATAGATAGATAGATACATACATACATAGATAGATGATAGATAGATAGATAATAGATTGATAGATAGATAGATGATAGATAGATAGATAGATAGATAGATAGATAGATAGATAGATAGATAGAAGATAGGATTTATTAGAGTGGCTTACAGGCTGTAATAGAGCTAGTCCACCTGAATGTTTCCCAGCTACATACAGTAATCAGCTTTACCAGCTGAAGAATTATTGTGGGATGGAGAGAAGGAGCTACTCTGGGAACAGAATAAACCATGGGTATTTGGGAGAAAGTTTATACTGTTCCTGGAAAAACTGTCCATGAAACGTGGCTTGGGTGCACGTTACCCTTAAATTGTTAGGGGAAGGCAACACTCCTGTGAGTCCCAAGGGGAGTCTGTCAGCTCTTGAAGGATGAGGCAGGTGCTTGTATCTGCAAGCAAAGCCTTGGTTTAGTTTCAGGACTCTGGAAATGAGACGGTTCAACATAAAGGGAGAATTGCACAGCCTTTGTGGTTAACTTCATTTAGCCTTTCCTACAACCAGAGCTGGTGTCTGGGGTTGAATGATTACAGCAGAAACGGGAACAAAATCAGAACTACAAACATGTTCCCTTTTCAAAAAAAAAAAAAATGGTGGTGATAGGGGTGGAGTACCAGAGGCTCCTCTGGGAGGGAAGAACGTAAGTATGATCCCTAATTTCTTATGATTATAAAGGGGAAAGGGTGCCTGAGAAGTAGATGAGGGGAGCCATTTCTTGAATAATAATTTTAAAAGGACTGTTGGACATTCTTTGCCTGAATGCTGAGCAAAGGAGTCCAGGGTCCATGTGCCGGGATTCTCATTATCCTCTCTGCTCTACGTTTGATCTCCAGGGTGACAGGCAGATCACGATTGAGCAGGAGTCTCTAGGAAACAAAGAAGACATGGAGGATGATGACCAAGATGAACGTCAAAAAGGGTACAGTTCTTAAGCCAAGGACACAGCCGCATCTACTCCCTGTGTGTTTATTCCGTGTTTGTCTTTTTATTCTCTTCTAAATTAAATTTTACTATGCTTCATTAGAAATTGTCAGCACCTCACCCAACACCACTTGGATAAAATTCATGACTTTTGGGGTGATGGACGCAATCAGTTCAAAAAGATGTGGCTCTGGGAACCCAGTCTTTATTTTTATATTTTCTCAGAACAGTCTTCTCATTAAAGGTATAAATTACTAACTAATGGCTTCCATCACCATTCGGGTTCCCTCCCTCAGAGCGTGGCACACTCTTCAGTAGTTAATCCACATTATGGCCAGTGTCCACCAAAGATGACTGTTCCACTTCTGCTTGGAGACACGGCTTCAGAAACCTGTTTGTGTTGTTTGTGAAGCCTCTAACCCAGGCTGCGCACGCCAATATCTCATGTTTGGGTGCTTACTCTGTGGGTCTTTGACTTTTGTGTTGCAGGTGTTTGGAAAGGAAGTATGATCTGATTTGTGAGTTTTATAGAAAGCACAGAATCATTATTCGGCAAACCATAGGGGGCATTCTATTGACAGGTAAATACCAAAGGGCTGTGGGAATGCTGCTGTCGTTTCTTGGGATCTTTTAAGTGTTAGCTTTCTGGGTAAAGAAAGAAATCTGCCCTTCCCCTGGACCTCACAGACTCACCCAGAGAAATGGTGAAGTCAATCAACAAACCCCAGAAGGGAAAGTCTACACAGACTGCTCGCCTGCCTTTCTTATGAAGCCAATCAGAAATTTTTGGTTTTGATGCACCTACTATCTTAGTCCATTTTCTGTTGCTATAACCGAATACTGTAGGCTCAATCATAGATATTTTTTGGGTCCTGGAACAGAGTCCAGGATCAAGTATTGGTGACAGAGGTATTTTGTGGCATGAGATAACACACGCTGACCCATGTCTGTTTTGTGACATGAGATAACACACACTGACCCATGTCTGTTTTTATGAAGCCACTAATAACACCATGGTGGCTCCAGCCTTAGGACCTCATCTAATTCCAATTACTTCCCCGAAGGCCCCGCCTCTGCTACTATCACTATTTGAATGTGGGAATTAAATTTCTAACATACAAACTACAGGGGGATACAGTCAAACCATGGCACTACCTTACTCTTGGGGCTCATAGAGCCCTTGTTATTGTGACATGTTTTCAAGGAAGCACGTTGGCTAATGCAAATGCAGAATACTTGGACAACTGGCAGACTTTGCAGTGAACACAGGTTAAACAAGAACAAAAATAAATGTAGGAGTGAAGGCAGAGTCAGACCCGGGACCTTTGGGCCCACACTTCAGCCTCCAAAGCAAAAACGTGGTTTAAAAGATGTGAACCTTCCCACTAAGCCCATAGGCATCTGTAGAATGTTACACCGTCAAAGCCAAGAGTGTGATGATTTCCAAACAGCTGGGGCAGCTACAGCAAGGGTGGGCCAGCGTCCCTCCAACAGGCCAGAGAGTCTTTTAGGTCTGGCCATACTGGACCTTCAACCTTGCCGTTATAACAAAAATATAACCACAGATACTGTGTAAGTGGAAAGACCTGGCTGCATTGCGGTAATGCTTGATTAAAGGATGCAAGTACGCACAGCAAATGCCACTTCCCTCGCAGCAAGTCAGACTGAACCTGTGGGCCATTGTTTGCTGACTTTTTAGAAAAAGAAACTTTTATTTTTTTGAGGCAGGCTCTCACTGTATAATCCTTGGAGTCCTGGAACTCATTATGTAGACCATGCTGGTCTTGAACTCACAGAGATCCAACTATCTCTGTCTCGCAGGTATTGAGATTAAAGATGTACACTACCACATCTGGTATTTTTATTCTGGAATCTGTTCTTTAAATGCGGCAATAGTGACCAAGTGTCAGGATTCAAGAACTCCATCATGGTGAAATCTGAGGGACTTACTTGAAAGGAAAGCAAAAGGCTCAGTTCAAGAAGTCTGTGCCTACTGGGCGGTGGTGGCGCACACCTTTAATCCCAGCACTTGGGAGGCAGAGGCAGGCGGATCTCTGTGAGTTCGAGACCAGCCTGGTCTACAGAGCTAGTTCCAGGACAGGCTCCAAAGCCACAGAGAAACCCTGTCTCAGAAAAACCAAAAGCAGCCTCCACCAAAGCAGCCCTGCATTCCATGGGTGCCTATTTAAGCCACCCCTTGCCTAAATCAGACCCAGGCTGGAAGCCCATGACCCCTGGTGTGGTAATATTAACCGTCTTAATTTGCCTCCTGGACAGTTTTCCTGGCTCTGGTGATTGCAGCCTGTGTACTAAACTTCCACAGAGCCCTGCCTCTTTTTGTGATCACCGTGGTTACCATCTTCTTTGTTATCTGGGATCACTTGATGGCCAAATATGAGCAGCAAATTGATGAGTTCCTGTCTCCAGGCAGAAGGCTTCTCGACAAGCATTGGTTCTGGCTGAAATGGTAAATACATCTTTCTCTCCTACTGCAGTGGAGGCATGCTGGCTCTCTCCAACACCGTTCCAAAAATGTGTTCTAAAATTCCATCCTCATTTACGAGATGTTGATGCTAGAAATAACCTCGAGCAATCTTCTATCATGCCTCCATTTGGCAAACAAGAAATGCAGGGTGAGATAAGGGATCATATGGAAGCTATTCAGGTGTACCAGCAAGCCCCTTGGTTCGATGGTAAATGTCCAGAGACAAACTGCTTATCTTCATGTTTGTATTAGAGAGATGCCTAGATATCTACACATTAAGAATTAGCCAAGAATATAGGACAAAGCAACATTTTGGACATACAGGGATGCGTTAGCATTTTCAACCTTGTCCGTAGAATGAGATCATGATCAATCAGTAGTGTCTGTCTTGACCCAGGTCAGAGAACAGCTGCACGATGCCGTCTGGTTTCAGTGCTGGCTTAAAAATTGGCTTATAAGTCCAACACAGTAAAGACCTGATGACTATGTGAGCTCGCACTTTCATATATAGTTATGTATGATCTCATTAAATTCTTTTAATAAATAGAAATCATGGATTACATTCGATCTTGAATGTTTTGTTTCACTTAATACTTATTATTATATTATATATTATTCATTATTTATTTATTTCTATAGTTTTCAAACAGGAAAGGAAGATCAAGATGACATAATAACTCAACATTTTGTTTGGGGCTTTGTGTGTGTGTGTGTGCATGTGTGCATGCGTGTGTTTGTGTGTGTTTCCAATGCACAATGAACATAAATATTATGTATATGTATATCTGTCTATCTATATAAAAATATATATTTAAAAGTTGGACCAACTGATACCCATTATTTGCACTTATTTATTGAATATTGAATTCAATAATTTTTAGATTAGGGTCTCAATTCCTCTCATTTCTTTCTATGTCTTTTGCTCCTTAAAAACTAAATCTTACTGGGCAGTGCTGGCTCTCACCATTAATCCCAGCACTTGGGAGGCAGAGGCAAGCAGTTCTCTGAGTTCAAGACCAGCCTGATCTACAAAGTGAATTCCAGGACAGTCAGGTCTACATAGAAAAACCCTGTCTCAAAAAAAAAAAAAAAAAAAAAAAAAGCTTATATCTTTAAAAAGATTTAGCACACAAGGTTTTGTGTAAGCCTTGGACTAAAATTATGACATTTTTTCCCCTTGGCACATTTTATTTAGTGGGAAATATCTATCTCCATTTGTACAAAAATGTAAAAGCCTTAGGACCCCTTTGCTTAGCTAATGACCCAATGACTACAGGTCTAGTTGCAGTTTGAGGTGTTCCTTCCATCTCTGTCTGAAGAAGACTCAACCTAACGCCTTGTCTTTTCTTTCTCCCAATTCCTTATTCTAGGCTTGACTCAAAGCCAGTACCAAGATGAGGACATTGATATCTCTGACTTGGGGAGGGGCTTCCTGCTCTAGGAATGGGGCTGGCTCCTGGGGACCTGACTCCCCCTTAAAAGAACCCACAACGATTCCCAGGGCTTTTCTTTGGATTCTCACCACAGGATCTCCTCTCCTTGGAGATGGCCCTGTCGGGTGTTCACAGGACTGGTTCTCTCCATTGAGAACCATGTGGGCTACCCTGGACACTTCCCCCATCTTCAGTCTAGGTAATCAGCTCATCATCCCCACACAATGGCCTCTTCGTCCAGGAGCCATGAATCACCTATCATGTCTACCAGACTCTCATGAAGGAAGATAGGACCCAAAGTCTGACTCAGCTCCTAAATACAGAAAACATGTTCTCTCGTGAAGGGAAGGAGTCAACACCCATCCCAAAACTGACAGAAAAAGGTGAATGTGTCTCTCAAAGACCCTACAGACAGAGACCAGACACTTCTGTACAAGCACCCACTCTCCTCTGGGATGCTCATGGAGGGACGGATGTCGCTGTAGCCAACTGGCTGAAGCAGAGCTTCCGGTTCTGGGGCACGGTGTCTCACTACAGTCTTCACTTGTTAGCATTGGCCTCATCCTGTTACTTTTGTTCTCACAGGGTGATGTGGAGCTCATTAGTCCTGGCCGTCATTTTCTGGTTGATCCTTGACACTGCCAAATTGGGCAATCAGCAGCTGGTGTCCTTTGGCGGTCTCGTGATGTACATTATCCTGTTATTTCTCTTTTCCAAACATCCAACCAGAGTAAGTACAGACCGGTCCCGGGACGAGGAGAGCATAAGACTCTAAAATAGTGGCTGAGAAAGAATCTAACTAGGCAAATTTTTCTCCCCACCGCCCCACCCCCTGCAAGTCCTTAAGGTGGCGAGAAAATGAAGGTGCTTGTCTGAATTATTTTATTTCTAGCAATTTTCAGTTACACAAGTAAAACATCCCTCATGCCTACTCAGGGAAAGTCATTCCCTTTGACACATATTCTACTCCACCCTGTACTTCTGAGTTTTGAGATGGGAACTTATATATCACAGGCTAGCCTTAAATTCTTTCAAGGATGACCTTGAACTTCTGATCCTCCTGCTGGAAATCAAAACAGGTGCAGCAATACCCAATTTATAAGAGAACTGAGGACCTGAATGCTAGGCTTTGCACATGCTAACTAAGCCGTCTACCAGTCTTCAATCCTGTGTTTTATGGAAATGCTGTTTATGATTTGGGCTTTTTTATTCTCAAAATTTGTCCTTATACACTCCTCCCTTGTTGCATCCAATTTTCAACCCCCCCTTTTTCTCCTTTTTTTGTAATCAGTCTACAGCCCATGAGATGAGTTTGAATTCTAAGACTAAAAGCTTTTACCTACAAATCACAATGGCAGGCTGCAGAAGTCCTAAGTTCTTTTTGGCTGAAAGGATGACCCACAGAAGAAACGTTAATCAGAGACCGTGTTGACCTAATACAACGAAAAGTATTTGCCCTGCTCAGAGGAACATCTCCATTCTCTGTGCCATCAATCCCAAGATTTTAGGTCACTCATTTCTGCTCTGAGAGAAGTGTAGACGGCAGTCCGTTTCTTCTGTCATCCTAGGTCTGCAATAGAGGTCTTTGCTCCCTTTATTGGGGAACAAGAGTCTCTCAACTGAGCTGAATTTCATCTAATTCAGTTATAAATTGTCAGATAAACAACCTTTGAACACAGAAAAATCAATTTCTACCTTTCCATTTTCCAAGTGAAGAAATAATTGTACATGCAACTTTTACAATTTGACCGGGTGTCTCAGAGACAATTCTTTGTGTCCAAGGTATTTCTCAGGACTTCACAGTTACATAAGTTCTCAGATTTTGCACCAAGGTTTATACAGAGTGGATGCAGCCCTGATATATGCATGTATTACAGAATGGTTCTCTGAAGTCTCTTTGTAGTGAGCGGTGGGAGAATGCAGACTTGCTGCTACCCATACTGCTGAGAATGGGTGACTGCTGAGGGCCCGCTCTAGAAGGACATTTCTAACATCCCCTCTGAGGCTCAGAGAACACTGTGGAAGAGGGTTCAAGACAAACAGAGGATCCAGAGACAGGGAGTAGGGCTCCGAAATGCCATCCAAGGCACTACACAACCTTTGCATTGAGTTTACTTGTATGGGGTCTGTCTTAGTTTCGCTTCTTGTTGCTTTGACAAAATCAACTTAGAAAGAAAGGGTTTATTTTGTTCACAATTCCAGGTTATAGCCCACCATTGTCGGATAAGTAAAGTGGCAAGAACATGAAGCCGCTAGTCATATTATACACAGTCAAGAGCGGAAAGCAATAAATCAGTGCATTCATGCTTGAGCTCAGCTCCCTTCCCCACCCTTACACAGTTCAGGAGAGCCTGTGTAGGGAATGGAGCCACCCACAGTAGGCAAATCTTCCCACTTCAATTAATGTAATAGAGATAATTCCTAACAAATACAGCCACAGGTCAACCTGATCCTTTATTGAGCTCTTCCCAGATAGTTGTATGTGCATCAAATTCGTGGGTTCCTGAATTGTTTCAGGCTATTGATAAATTCTGGGAAAGGCATGGTCATTGTCTTCAGTTGTGTGCCCACTGCTGAACCCACCAGACTCAGTGGATAGCTCCAATCCACGGTCACACAGACAGCCCTGTTTAAACTCAGTGAGTTATGAAACCAAGCAAACAGACAGGAATGTGAGAAAGATTTGTAAGGATAAGCGGGATAGACAGGGTGGGAGGGAGATAGGCAAGGCTAGGGAGTGAGGGTGATCAACGTGATTATGTACATGTATGAAGTTGTCAAAGAACACATTTAATCAATTGGAAAAACATTCTCTGCTCCTGGCCTCCCCAACCACATGTGAGAATGCTCCGAAGGGGACAGTGGCCCCTTGAACATCTATGTTGAGGTCACCCTTAACTTCCTAATAAGGAAACTACAACCAAAAGGGGTCTGTTGCCACTTCCGAAAGCTGTCTCTGCATGACCAATGTTTTGTTGTTTCTTTAAGTCTCGTTACAATAGTGAATGATTTTGTGAATGAAGTTAGCGCAATATTTAATGGTCTCCATCTTTCTCCGCAGGTTTACTGGAGGCCTGTCTTTTGGGGAATCGGATTACAGTTTCTTCTTGGGCTCTTAATTCTTAGAACTAAGCCTGGATTTATTGCTTTTGATTGGCTGGGGAAACAAGTTCAGGTGAGCAGTTCAAAAGAAAATTGGGTGATCCAGAACAGGTGGTCAGAAATGCAAAGCCAGCCTTGGCTATAAAGCAAGTGAAAAGCCAACCTGAGCTTCAAGAGAGCTTATCCAAAAAAGATTTCTTTGTGTTCTTGTACTTTTAACATTTGGGTGTAACCCTCAGGACATTTTTTTTAAGTAGGTAATTTATCTGTAATATTGTACCCTAATTTTAATTCCATAGCACAAATTAGATTTGCTGCTTGTCTCGAATACATTCATCTACGTAGCTGATTAAGCCGGCTGCTGTCCCTACCTGTGGCACCCATTGGCCACGCCCCTTTCCCTGCCGTCCCATCACCCTGCCCAAGGGGTGGCACACTTCTGAGATAGTTCCCCCAAATAGAGAACAGGCCTTCTTCTGTGTCTGGTGGTAACTAGGGCCATCCTCATGTAGCACCTATGACTTATGGGAGCCGATGACCACAGTCAGAGCAAGGCAGACTAAGTGTTAGAAGTGGCAGAAAGTCTAGATGTTGGGATGCTTTAAAAGGAGGCTTCATAGCGTTCGCTGGAGGAGCAATGCTGAGAACATGAACTTCCCAAATCTGCCTGATGGCTTTGCTGGCCCTCATCCATCCCTGCAGGGCCTCAGGCTCATCTGTGGCTTGTGACTCATGGTTTGTAATGACACCTCTCTCTCTCTCTCTCTCTCTCTCTCTCTCTCTCTCTCTCTCTCAGACTTTTCTGGGGTACACTGATGCCGGAGCTATGTTTGTCTTCGGGGAGAAGTATACAGATCACTTCTTCGCATTTAAGGTAACTCCAGGTATCTTTTCTCTGCCTGCCTGTTAAAATTAAAGGAACGCTAACGCTGTAGACACAATGTGTTTTTAGGGATATTTTAATAGATTTTTTACAAATCAGATCCTGCACAAATTTCCCTGGTTGGTGTCTTGCTGTGGACTAGCAGGGAAGGGTGAGGTATTGCAGGAGCAGACTCCAAGGAGAGCCATTATTTTTGTTATGGCCATTCCATTTTCATGACTTCGTCTAATCTTTTTTCTTGGTTCATTTTATTTAAAAAACCGTATGGGATTGGAGTCACAGGCAGTTGTGAGTTGTCATGTGGGTGCTGGGAGCTGAAACTGTCTTCTGCAAGAGCAGCAAGTGCTCCTAACCACTGAGCCATCCCTCCAGCCCCTGACTTCCTCTAATCTTAATTACTTCCCAAAGACTCCATCCCAGATGCTTATTAAATGTCTACCATGTGAACCTTAGGGGACACATTCAAACCAACCCCATAAAGAACTTAAAGAGTCGGATGCTGTCCAGAGGACAACTTCTGGATGGAGACATCTGTAGCTCAGAGGGACTTTGCTTCTGTTACGGCACATCCAGGGTCGAAAGGGAGGCAGAGGGGAAGCTTAGTAGGGAATGCATGGTACTTTTTGCATCCACCAGTGACCACGTTTTCACCCCCACCCCACCCACAGGTCCTGCCCATCGTGGTCTTCTTCAGCACTGTGATGTCCGTGCTCTACTACGTGGGATTGATGCAGTGGGTCGTCAGAAAGGTACTGGGATGAGAGGCGCTTTAGAACGGCCTCTCTCCTCTCTCTCTTGAAATCAGACTCTACTTCTCTGGGATGTACTGATGGAGAGTTAGTTCAGATTCAAAGTCCGTTACTCAGGCACTGAGAATACATCAGATCTTTCTAGACTCTCCTCTACCACCATCTAAGTTCTTAGAATCCTACCCATAATCCTTCATGCATCCATATCAAGAATGTTACCATGCTCACTTCGACAGCTCATATACTAAAATTGGAACAATACAGAGAGTATTAGCATGGCCCCTGTGCAAGGATGGCACGCAAATCCATTAAGCGTTCCATTAAAAAAAAAAAAAGAATTTTGCCTCAGTGCCCTTCAAAGGGACTGACTTGCAACCCACTGGGCATGTCCATGAAACCACAGACGTTACTTCTGCAGAGAGGGAACAGAGGTCAAATGCCTGCCCAGGGAAGCAGCATTGCTGTTTCCTTGTGGTTTCTACATAGGTCCATAGCCTTGGCTTCTCACAAGGTCCTCCAGGCCTTGCAGGTAGTGCAGAAACAGAAACAAAAAGATGTTGCTTTTGCTCTTGAGATTTTTATAAGCATAGAATTTTTTTAAGCAAGTAAGTCACACTCTTGCTGCCCCAACAATTGACTTCTCATCTTTGTCAGGACACACGGGGCTAGAGAGATGGCTCAGTTGTTAAGAACATTTTCTGCTCGAACTGAGTTCAGCTCCCATCACTCAAAACCAGGGGCTCACGGTCAGCTCCACTGACATCTTTTGGCCTCTGTCAGCACTTGTACACACGTGGCCACAGCCACGTGTACAAATATACACATGCATAAATAAAAAGCAAAAAATGAGTGTCAGGCAGAACAAAACACTGGCTTCATGCCTAGAAATCAGAACAGAGGGAAACCAACTGAGCCCCAGGATCTCTTCAAGGATGGCTTCCAACAACTTCCGGCCTCGCCTTAGGCTCCACCCCTTAAATGCCTCCTCTTCCTAATAACACTGTGGCTGAGGACCAGACCTTTAATATGTAGATATCTGGGGGGTCTCTCTATTCTAACTATGCCACAAAGCCATACAAAAGTGAACCCCCAAAAACATGCTCATTTGAATTAAATAGGGAAAATCCTTTCAGTCACGTCCATCTTAGTACTTCCTGTGGGCTAGCCTTGAATAACCGCTCTGTGCCTTAGTCTCCTCTTTTGCAATACGGAGAACAATAGCATCTGTTCCAAAGAGCCAAGAATAGATGGATCACTCAGGTCTGTTGCTTACAGTCCTTCTCAGACACAGAAAAGCTTTCTGTCAGTGGTAGTAATGATTTATTCATTACTTTTATTTAATCTGCAGAAACCCATTTCTATAGTGCTCAAAATGATACAATGGTGCAGACTTAGACTCGAGTAGGAAGACTTGGGTTGATTGACCCGGTCTGGAGGAGTCTCAGGCATGTTCAGCCCATCGCCAATCACCAATCTGCCATCAACCGTTAAAGACCTCAGTGTCTTAACACAGTGAGATGTTCACTCGACTGTTAAGTCTTTGCTATATAAACAATTCTTTGCTGACTTGGTCCTTTTCTTTCTTTTAGGTTGGATGGTTGATGCTTGTCACTATGGGGTCATCCCCCATTGAGTCTGTCGTTGCTGCCGGCAACATATTTGTTGGGCAAGTAAGTTGTGATCACAGAAACGAAGCAAAGCAGAGCAGCTGCTGATGGGATTGTTCTCTTTCCAAAACAGATGAAGACGAGTTCATGGATGCATCGTCTCTTCGGGGTGGAGTGAAGAGCATGAAATAAGAAATCTCTAGCACCATGCACACACACACACATGTGTGTATGCATGTTTGTATGTATAGAAAGGGAAAGGAGGGAGGTTATGTTAGCATGGAATTGAGCTACTGAAAGCTCAGAGAGAGAACACCATTATTTTTATCAAATCATAGGGCTTCTTGTATACACATTCTCCACAAACCTTTATCCATTCCTGGGGCCTTTGGCCAGCTCTGCAGAGGCTCGTGATTGTTCACCTCAGATGTCTGAGCTACAGATAGTGAGTAGGGACCCTCTCGCTCTCCACTGCAATGCCTGTGATGATGAAGAAGACAAAGCTACCCACCAACCGTCCTACAGGCACACACTCAAACCTCATCCCTGATGTGTTTAGCCATCCACCTTCACTGAGCCTGCAGAAAATGCCTCAGATTTGTTTCTTCTCCTCAAAGACAAGCTTTTAGTCTACCATCCTCACTTCTCTAACCCATCAGATGAATAAACACCCCTTTGTCTGAGGGCCGTTTAAACAAAGAACTGAATCCCTCAACATTGAAGCAAACCTAAGCCACGGACAGGTTAGGAATGGCAACGAGCTGCATCACTCAGGATACATAGCTTCGGAGAAAATGGAATCATGGAATCCCCCAATGAGGACATGGGAATCCTGCCAGCAACTGCCCAAATAAAGTGGACTTGAGGCAAAAACCATACCACAGAAAAATGCATGGCTCCAAGTCCCAGGTTTACAGTGCTCAAGGCAGGCTGAGCCTTCTTGGTAAGGCTGGCTCAGTAGCCTGAAGCAGTCTTTAGTGTGTGTGGTGGTAATGCTTCCTTCCCTAGGAGCTGAAATTATAATAATTACAGTCATAAACTCTCTCAGGACTAATTAAGGCACCATCTTGAGATGATTGCTGGTACCTGTGGGGTAAAAGGTCTTGCATACTGGGCTCCTATTTAGTCTATAAATTGAGACTCAGCACATTCAATCTCACAGAACAATTAGACATAATGAGCAGAAAATTGTAAAATTGCACGCATGCGTCTGTGGCGCTCAATTTGACAGTTAATATGCCCAAAGTGCTGCTGTTATTGATGGAGAGCCCACATTGCAGGCTGCCTGCCCTTTGTAATGAGATTCAAGCCTATTCCACCATACCCTGGCCTGTCAGAGTCTCAGTCATGAAAGGGCCCATAGATACCTGCTCCTATTCTTTTATCTATAATGGTCTCTATTTCCACAAAACATGCATGAGTCTGTCAAGATCATCTTGAAGACAGAAAGTTATAGTGGTTTGGAAATCTCCAGTCTATAAGGCCGGAATACTAGGTGGAGATACTTGGCCAATCTTCAGGAAAATATCCCAAGTCCTCATAGCATCCAGCCCAAAGTAGGGTGGAGGACTCTGTTTAAATAGCCCCACATATTACAAGATTTACCCAGGACTACACATGCACACTGATCTAGAGTTCAAATGACCAGGACAGCAATGGTTCTGGACGTGCTGCAAAAGCTGAAGCACCTTGGGCGCATGGATTCTCTGCGGTGAGAATCTTCGGAGTCTAATTAACTTACACAACGTTCGGTCTCTTCTTTTCTGTTGTTACCGTTCTTATTTCTCATCATCGTTGAAGAGACCTTGTGAAACTGCTCCTTGTGAAAATATGAACAAAAGTTGCTCCCGGTTACTTTGGCATTTGAAGCCAGGAGCCCCAAGGAGTTGGGTACCAGAATCACCTGGAAAGCACAGACTGTGGGGGCAGGGGCACTCTCAGAGTTTCTGGTTCCAGGTGGAGAATTTGCATTTCCAGAGTTCCTGGTGACCTCTGGAGAAGGTCTGAGTCTCTCTAAGACTGCAATAGGGAATACAGTGTCAAGCACCTGAAAGGTAACACTTAGCTTTTGTCTCCAGACCGAGTCTCCACTGCTGGTCCAACCATATTTACCACACGTCACCAGGTCAGAACTCCACGCCATTATGACAGCTGGCTTCGCTACGATCGCTGGAAGCGTATTGGGTGCCTACATCTCTTTCGGGGTAAGAATGTTTGGGATATAATTAAGTAAGTCTGATCTCCTACTTCTTTATTGTTTCTTTTCCTTTCCTGTTGTTGATGGAAAATGACAAGAAAGTTTCCCCCTTGTTAGCGTGACAAAAGTAGCCACTGTTGCTTTGGTGTTTGGACATAGCGACCCCAAGGAGACTGAGGTCTTCGCTTCCATATTGCTGCCACCTTCCTGTAACTATATCAACCACTACAAAGTGAAATTATACGACAAGGTTATTTTGCCTAAAAATTTCAATTTGGGGGAAACACAAAACCCATTACTGACATCAGCCAAAACAGTCTAAACCAGTGGTTCTCAACATGTGGTCGTGATCCCTTGGGGTTGGATGATCTTTTCATAGAGATCACCTAAGACCATTGGAAAACACAGATATTTTCATTACAATTCATAACATGAAGTAGGTTGTAATACCAGTGGAGGAGTGCCACAGCGGATGGATGGATGGACTTGTCTTAGAGAGAGAGAGCAAACAGGCAAAAAGTCAAGTATGCTTCTATGTCCTTTTATCTGGGCTGCAACCATAAAGTGAGGTCCACAGTTAGTGTGAATCATTTTGTTTCAAATAACCTGATCAAGAAAATTGCTCACAGAAGTGCCTGAGGCTAGATGCAGTGTCTTAGTCAGGGTTTCCATTGCTGTGAAGAGACACCATGACCATGATAGCTCTTATAAAGAAACGATGTTTAATTGAGGTGGCTCACATTTTCAGAGATTTGGTCCACTATCATCATGGTGGGATACAGGCAGACAGGATGCTAGAGAAGTAACTGAGAGTCCGGCATCTTGTAGGCAACAGGAAGTGGACTGAGACATTGGGCAGTATCCTGAGCACATATGACACCTCAAACCCACCTCCACAGTGACACACTTCCTCCAACAAGGCCACACCTCCTAATAGTGCTAGTCCCTTTGGGGGCCATTTTCTTTCAAATCACCACATGCAGTCAAGTTGACAAGATTAAACCTCCCAGTCTTGGAAGAAAAATCCAGAATAGTTCCAGGGTTGGACAGGCTAGAAGGGAGTAGACCAGCAATGAGGAAGAAGAAATAGTTTACAACACGAAGGAGAGAGGTGTGTTAATGATGTGTGAAGACAGATAGGGTTTCGAGAGAGAAGAGGCAGGGGGAGGGACCATCCATCTCTGCGCATGACCCGGAGGCCCTTTCTCCATCTTCCTTCCACCTCAGACTCCAGCATCTGAACTGAGGATGTGACAAGATGCAGGCTACAGGGGACAGCGGTGAAGCAGGATTAATAAAAACTCAGAGAGGGAAACTGGGGTTCAACCTGGAGATCAGAAAAGCAAAGCAGTCAGCCACTGGCTCTTACCTGAACCTCAGTCTGAAATGGCGACCCTGCCTCCAGGATCTCAGAACGAGACTGAGACTGAGCGCTGTCTCCTCCCGTTTTATAATCCTCTCTGGGGCTGGGTTTAAATGTGTGCACCACTGAGATTAAAGGCATGTACCACCTGGTTTCTATTGCAATTTCCTTATCTACTGGGATTAAAGGTGTGTGTTATTGCGGTCTGGTCTGTAAGGCTGACCAGTGTGGCTGTTTTACTCTCTGATCTTCAGGCAAGCTTTATTTATTAAAATACAAATAAAATGTCACTACACAACAGAATGTTCAGAGAGACAACAGAGAGGCTAAGAAATCTTTGAAAATTCTTACAACGCAGGATTAATTCTCAACCCAAATGGCCAGATTTGGGTGTTGTGCTTTTTCCACGGAGGTGTCAATTGACATGAATTCCTGTCTTGACCTCTGACTCCCGAGGCGGCAGGACTGGGCATACTGGGAGAGGCTATTCTACAAGACCTCCCAGGAGACCCTGTTCTCTGGCACGGGATAGAACGGGCCTCTTCTTTTCCACAGGTGTCCTCCACACACTTGCTAACCGCCTCAGTCATGTCTGCACCTGCGTCCCTTGCTGTAGCCAAACTCTTCTGGCCAGAAACAGAGAAACCCAAAGTGACCCTCAAGAATGCCATGAAAATTGAAAATGGGTAAGTCGACAGATTACTGAATTTATAATCGTACAGGCTGGAGAAGGAAGCACAGACGATCTTGGCTTTAGAATGATATGACATTCAATTTCCCAGTGACTCCTTAGAGTTTAAGAAACAAAACAACCTCTCTTTTAATGCTCAGGAAAGTCTTCCTACACACCTGCTTCTGAAGCGTCCGTTATGAAGGCGCTTCTGTGTAAATACACCAGTGTTCGCTGAGCCCTGCTTTAACACTGTTGGGAAGTCACAAAATGGCTGCTTCCCAGGTCACTTGTGAAACCAAAAAGCTGCTTCATTCTCCTCTGTTCTACAAAAAAGAAATAAACCGGCAAAGGGGCTCCAGGAGCTAAGATGTTGATAAGTATCCCATTACATCACACAATGCCAAAAGTGGAAAATTCATGCCACTCGGCTTTGTTTTATGCACAGGTTATTTAAAATATTGCATAGGGCTTGCGGGAGAGTTCAGCAGGTAAAGCCACTCACCATCCAGGCTTGAAGACCTGTGATTTCCGAGGGCACTGAAAGGCAGGAGGACAAAAGTAACTCCATGACATATGTGTCCTATGTATGTGTCCTATGAGCTTGGCACATTCATCATGCTCATATGAGAAGTAATAGAAAATAATAAATATCTAATTACTCTCAAGTCATGTATATTAGGTACATATAAAATATCAGTTAATAGCCTCCTGGTGGTGGCGCATGCCTTTAATCCCAGCACTTGGGAGGCAGAGGCAGGCAGATCTCTGTGAGTTCGAGACCAGCCTGGTCTACAGAGCTAGTTCCAGGACAGGCTCCAAAGCCACAGAGAAACCCTGTCTCGAAAAACCAAAAAAAAAAAAAAAAAATATCAGTTAATAAAGTTATATTTTAAGCCTTACCCTCGTCCCACAAGAGCCCTTGTTATGGATAATGCAACTATCCCAAACACCAAAATATGAAATACTTTTGGCCTAAATAATGGGGATAAGAGATAGCACCCTGAAGGCTCCATTTAGAGTCAGAACCATGAAGATTTGCATGGTATATTACATAAGGCATGCTGTGTAAGGAGGCAGCCACGTAGGTGATCAGTATAGTGGGGGAGGTGGGTAGATTTAAGGGTAGACTTCTGACATTACAAGGGTTAATGGGAGATCAAAGAAGAGCCCACAATAGGAGTCAATCTGTTGGTGCGAGGGTTTCAAGACAGGGTTTCTTTCCTTGTCTGTCCTGGAACTCACTCTGTAGACCATGCTGGCCTCAAACTCAGAGAGATCTGCCTGCCTCTGTCTCCCAAGTGCTGGGATTAAAGTGACTCAGTCTTAAAGGAAGTGGAGTGATACAGGCTTTGTTTCAACTGTTAGTTTTTAGAGCCAGGAGATTCTATAAATACTCCCTGGTAATGACTTTTGATAAATAGTTTTTAAATTTATACAATTTTGTCACCTCTGGGTTTTTTATTATAAATATCCCCAGGTTAAAAAAGCACTATTGGGGGATGGAAAGATTGCTCAGAGGTTAAAGAGCACTGGCTGCTCTTCCAAAGGTCCTGAGTTCAATTCCCAGCAACTACATGGTGGTTCACAACCATCTATAATGAGATGTGGTGCCCTCTTCTGACCTGTAAGGATATATGCAGGCAGAATATTGTATACATAATAAATAAATCTTTAAAAATAAAATAAAAGCACTATTGGATTAGAGGTGGTAATGGGTTTGATACTTAGCATGCATGGAGCCCAGGATTCAATCTCCAAGGCTGATGCAGCAGTGGCGTCCACATCCCCACTGGGGGTAACAATCCTGAGCCCCGTGGTGATTCTGAGGCTGTAAGAGCCTGAGGACTTTGACCAAGGTCTGCGCCTAAGGGTTCACCTCATGCCCGGCAACTGTGATTGGGCCATGGCTGTGCTGGAGCATCCATTCAGAGATACTCCATGGTAATTCTGGAATTCCCACTTTTCAACAAAGCGATTCAAGAAATTTCCTGGAGGCGGCAACACAGGGCGCATCCTCGTCCATCCCCCTGGTGGCAAACATCGCCGTGAATCTGATTGCCTTCCTGGCCTTGCTGTCTTTTGTGAACTCGGCCCTATCCTGGTTTGGAAACATGTTCGACTACCCACAGTTGAGTTTTGAGGTATGACTCTGTCATGTTTTGTTTCTGAATATCTTGAAGTTTAGAAGCCGGGTACAGTGGCTCGTCTTTCATTCTGTCACTTAGGAGGCCATGAGTTCAAGGCCAGTGTGGGCTACAGAGGGAGCCCTGGTCCCAGAAAACAAGTCATGAAAGTGCAGCCGCCTTTCCTAACCAACTACGTCATGCTCTCTCATACACTCTGGACACACCCATCACACACACACCCCCCACACACACACCACACACCCCCCATACACACACACACACACCCCACACACACACACCACACACCCCCCCCACACACACACACCCCACACACACCCCACACACACACACACACACACCCCACACACACACCACACACACACCCCACACCACACACACACCACACACACACACACACACCACACACACACACACACCCCACACACACACCGCACACACACACACCACACACACACACACCACACACACACACACACCCCACACACACACACACACACACACACACACACACACACACACGCGTCATCTCGCCCTGTGCTGTCTTCTGTCATCCTCTTTCCCCAGAGCAGTCATTCTCTGCTGACCTCCCCAGAATGCGTGCTGCTCCCAATGACCCAGTTCTTGCTTCAGTATGCTTTCTGTGCTGTAACAGAACACTTGACTGAGAAGCCTATCAGGAAAAAAGAATTGTTTATCTTGCCATTCTGAAGGCTGAAAATCCACCATCGGTGTGAGGGTCATATCTGGTAAGACCCACACATGACAGAGAAAATGAAAAGGGGGGACCAAGGAGCTGACCGTCTTCAAACAAATGTTCTCTCAAATAATGCATTCCACAGAGAGCTAATGCAATATCTAAGAAAGATACTCAGTGATTTTAAGGGCTGTGCATCCATTAACACCACTACACGGGAATCAAGCCTTGACACCAGTTTTTTGAGGATCAAGCATATGCTCCTGATACATAAAGAAGGGCAGCTCAGTGTAAGGGGTTCTTTGTGCCCAGAAGAGGCAGGAACAGTCCAGTCACTGCAGGGGACGGGGTGGCAGAGTTAGAGGCAAACCACTTAGTGCCAACACCTGTCTCTTGCAGCTCCTCTGTTCCTACATCTTCATGCCCTTTTCCTTCATGATGGGAGTCGACTGGCAAGACAGCTTTATGGTTGCCAAGCTCATAGGTTACAAGACATTCTTCAATGAATTTGTGGCTTATGACCACCTCTCAAAATTGATCAGTTTGAGAAAAGCAGCCGGACCCAAATTTGTGAATGGCGTACAGCAATATATGTCGGTATGTATGAATTTTATCACATAAATACATGGTGACTGTAGCTCTGTCTGTCGGGAACAGGACGGACAGCAGAGTGGAACAATCCAAGAACTTGGTCTCATAGCACTCACAATGAGCACAGCATAATTTTCAGTCAGGTTATCTTGACCATGTGATATGTGTGTGACGAAAGAAAGAAAGGGAAGGAGAGAGGGGGAGGGAATTTAAAGACTATAAGCACACCTGTAATGAGATCTGGTGCCCTCTTGAGGAAGAATCCTGGTCAGTCATCCTCACCAACTTAGACCATGAAATCCAACATGAATATGGACAAGTTCAACAGAATCGCCATATAAGGGCTGCCCATGCATGCTACAGCTTATGCCAGGGCATAAATTTTATTTTTTTCAAAAGCAGTCCTAGGGTCCTATGAGCTGGGACAGGTATTAGTGCACTAAGGCAAGAGCACCGAGGACACCACAGGCCTCTGCTAGCCACCCTTGTGCTCCAGTAACTTAACATCCAAGGTCGGCAGCTTATGATGAGGCAGGCTCCTCTGGGCTCACAGTTTCCGAGGTTTCAGCTCATGATCCTCTGACCTTGTTGCTCTTCTGTACAAAGTAGCTCATCAGCATGGTAGCATAGAGCAGGGGGACTGCTCACCACAAAGTAACTGGGAGATAAAGAAGGGGGGAAGGGACAGAGTCTCAATATCCCCTCCAAGGGTGTGGTCTGGCCACCTAACTCCCTTTACTGGGCCTGACTTCCTGTCCTCATCTGCTCTTCTCTTGCTGTGATAAATGCTATGGCCCAAAGCAACTTGGGAAAGGAGAGGGTTGCACTTCCAGAAAGTTCATCACTGAGAGAAGCCAAGGACAGGAACCTGGAGGCAGAGCCCACAGAGGAGCACTGATTCCTGGCTACTCCCAGGCTCGCATTCAGCACCTTCTTACATAGCCCAGGCCCACTTGCCTAGGGATGGTACTGCCCACAGGGGGGCCAAGCCTTCCTACCTCAATCAGCAATGAAGAAAACACCCACAAACATGCTGAAGGTCAGCCGATAGAGGCAGTTCTCCAGTTGAGGGTCCCTCCCTGAAGATTCTAACCTCCCGCCTTCAGCACCGAGGTCTTTGGGAGCAGGACTGATTTCTTGGAGCTGGTGGCTGACTGTGAAGGCCTCTTCAACACTGTGGTTTCGAAGAAACTGACTACACACCCTGTACCTCATCAACCTCAAAAGATAATGAGGTGCAATTGCTGGTATGAAAGGGAGAAGGGGAAGATAAAATATTTCTGTCTGTGAGTGAAAACTGTGGGTCAGTCACCCCATAATCATGCAAAGAGGCTCTCACCTTCTTGGGCTTTGATGGAGTGTGGAACTTAACTTGAATGAAGATGTCTTTGCAACTGAGTGTCCAATTTATTTCCTTCCAAAGATCAGAGTCATCACCTCAAAAAAAAAAAAAAACCCGGAGAAATGAACATTTCTAACTATGCAGTCTGTCTCTGGAACAAAACATGTGGAGTGAACGTCCCCAGCATTAAACCTATAGCCCCAGTACTGAGATGCTCACCCAGAGACCTCCACTTCCTCCCTGGACTCCCAGAAACCAAACATAAGGATTATATAAGTGGAGTTACCTCCCAAAGGCATCCTCATGAGAATGACTTTGTGGTCAGGGGCTCTGTGCCCCCAAATGAGATAGGAGTGGGGTTCCTGGGTCTTCTGTCCTCACAGTTCATTTTTGTGGTAAGCCAAGAGCGGGATGTGGACAGCCATCTTCATTGTTTGGCTGCCATCTGAAGCAGTTTGTTTCCCTGCCCAGAGTAAACAATGGGCTAAATTAACCGACATGTTTGCTACTTCCCTGTTGTCAGGAGAAAGCGCTTTTGTTAATGAGCAAAGCAAGCTGCCAGTTCTGGCAGTACTAATGGCGTCTCTGAAAAGCTTGTTGGAAAGGCGGAGCCCCAACTGTAGAAATGATTCCATTTGGAGTGAGCCCAGCCAAAGGCAGGCATATGGGGTACATGTGAAAACAGCTCGGCGGTCTCTGCTATTGTCGGGTTGCAGTGGGAAAAGCAGTTACCCCAAATTTCTGAGCATCTTGGCTCACACACAGGAGACCATTACCTTCTTAGTATGGCCCATCTCGTTCCATTGTATAATCATTTACGTTTGGGGGCAAAAGAAAGTGGCATCGGCCCAGCCTCCGTTTCTACTGGTAAAACCCTACACGGCCTCGTCTGCACACACCTCTGCCAGGTTCCTGCCAGAAAGAGGCTAGTGGGCTCCGGCTGCTGAAGTGTGAAATGTCTCCTATGGGGTCTGGGGCAGGGTGCTACACCTTTTCTCAATCTGCTGTCCAGGGGCCTCTCAGGCCTGGATCCTAGTGTGAAGCTGATGCGTCCATTTTCCATACTTGCTCTGACAAGTGTATAGGTGACACCGTTTTTACTTTTAGGGTAAGTGACTTATCAGTCTGGTCTCATTGATGGTGCCAGGTAGACAAAGAGTGTTGTTTTGAGTGTGCACTGAGTATAGTCATCCTGTATTCACACTCACATTCCTAAGCAGTCTTCCTGTGGCCTGCATTTTTTTTTCTCCCACGGGAGTAGAAACAGACGGTGATGGTTGAGTGTGGCACTGTCTCGTTGATGGGCTCTTCCTTGTAGCCACTGCTGTGGCTGTGTTCTTCTCCAGGGCTATTCAGGCAGCATGTGTCACCTCGGTGAGACGCCACTGGTTCACCACGAGAGCAAACTCATTGTGTGACTCTCCTAATGCAATGCATAAGCAGCCCAGACGCTTTACATCCTGACAAACTTAGGATAGGCAGTCGCTGCTTTTTAAATTTAGTTCTTTCAGTAACTGACAAAATACCTAAAATAAATCCACTTAAAGAGGATTTATTTTGGCTCTCCGTGCAGTGGTTGGCACCTCCCCATCGCTCCATATGCTTATTGCCAATTTGCATATCCTGTAGCAATGCTTCCAAAGCTTGGACAGTAGTCTTCTTGTTGAACTATAGCAGCTCTTCATATATTCCAAGCAAGTCCTTTGTCTGCACATATATAGTATAAATATTTTCTGAGACCAGCTTCTCATCTCCACCAGCTAGTACTGTGCCTTCTACAATGGGGCAGGTAGCCAAGTCAGATGGAACATTAGAAGTTATTTAATGAGCAGGAAGTAGCTTTTCTAGACCTCAAGGCCTCTCTAATCCCCAGCCTGTTGGCAGTGGTCCTTGAGCCTACACCATTCTTTCCACTCTCCCTCAAAGGTGAGGAGCACAAGGAAACCATCAATGGTTATCTGACAGTCAGCAGTGTGTGTGGTTATCAGCATTAATCCTATAGCCAATGAGGCCCAGTTGGGGTGTCAGATTTCTGAAGGGGTGGTCAGATCACGTACACATCAGTGTTTATGCTTGTTTACAGATTCGTTCTGAGACCATTGCGACTTACGCCCTCTGTGGTTTTGCCAATTTTGGTTCCCTGGGAATAGTGATCGGCGGACTTAGTAAGTGAAAAGAATATTCTTCCACCACAGCTGTGGACTTCACAAGTCTGTCCTCTAGTGTTCTGTCAGAAAAATGGCTCTTCAGCTGTGAAGTCCCCTGGGGCCTGTGTTTATCTCTGCTCTGGACTAGTTTTCCTATGCACACTCTAGTATTCAAGATAAATATGTTCAGGCATACAGATGCTTCTCTCAAGCCAATACAATCAGTCACTTGTTTATCAGGGCTCATAGAGTTATAACAGCCATCTGAAGGGTTCTTGGGGGCCCACGGCATTTGATGTCTGCCATGGGCATTGACATAGACGGTGACAGCAACTAGACATCATCTTGTTGACAGTTTCTTCCTGGTAACATTGGCATTGCCTTGTTCTCAGTGTTCTGTGGGCCCTCTGGATAATTTCATGACTTGTTTCTTTTTGGTTGACCTGAGTCCAGTCTCTAAAGAATGGACTAAAAACTTGGGTTTCTAAATTGACTTAATCTCCAATTAAGTCTCTTTCTCTTCCAGCATCCATAGCTCCGAGCAGAAAGCGCGACATTGCCTCTGGAGCAGTGAGAGCCTTGATCGCAGGGACCACTGCCTGCTTTATGACAGCCTGCATCGCAGGTATGGCACTGATCCTTCGTGTCCTGGATGCCCATAGGGAGGCAGGCTTCCAGGCTGCACACACAGCATATGCTGCCCCAGGAAGCTGAGAATTGGAGCTGGGCTACGCACACTGTAAAGTGAAATGCGTGGGGTGGAGTGAAGAAGCCGAGAACAGAAGGAGGGTTCTGGGATTTTGCTAAATTGCGACAATAAATGGCACTCTGTTCCTTTCCAGGCATACTCTCTAGCACCCCCTCAGATATCGACTGCCATCACATTCTGGGGAACACCAACTTACTCAGCAACACAACCCAAGTGCTATCTTGTTGCCAAAGTCTGTTGAGCAGGTACTTTTTTATTATTCCTACAATCTCTAAGTAATAATCAAATCCATCTTTCGTGTGCCCTTTCCTGAGGGAGGTGTGGACAAATATCTGTTCACCCCAGATAGGGCTCGACAACAGACAAAAGTAGACAGTTCCTCGAGGCCCTGCTTAGTGAACCAGTGAGTCTATTAGGTTTCCTTATAGAAGTGTGGGTGGACCCAAAATGGTAGTATCAATGCGAACTCTCACACCATTATTGGTGATGACTTACTGAAGCTGTCGTGGAGTCCCCGGAGTCCCCGCCTTCATTGACCTTCCATGAGCTGCAGAGTCCAGCACCCCCCAAGGTCGCATGCAGTTGAGAGGTGGGAAGTCGTAGATGAATTCCAGGTGACCTCTTGGCCTTCCTTACCCATCTTCTTAGAGGGAATGCTAACCGCTCTCTGACTAGTACCATAGACTTAGCTATCATGGTATTACTGCACTTATTTGGTTGCCATGACTACTGGGCCAAGCTCCATGACAATGGGCAGAGAGGCAGATAGTGTGATCACGTTGTTTTTGGAGCAAACAGCCCTACTGTAGTCCCAGCATAAAGACCATATCCATACATTTCAACTGTCGCGTGAGAAAACTCACGGTATTTCGGACAACCTTGGATCTTGTTTTTTCAGAGAAAACTAGAAAGCTAGAAAGTAAAACACTTCTAGGCTGCACACAAGTGTGTAGTGTGTACCCCTGTGCACGGTGCTCTTTGTGTGAACAAACTCACTTGAACCCTGCAATCACCATGTAAGTTCGGCACAACCACACTTTTCCTTTGCATTTGAAGCTTCAGGGAGGCTGTGTCTAGTCAAGCAATATTAGTCCCAGCATTATCAAGACAGGAACTTCCGGCCTGTCCCCAAAGCCAATGTCCTTGATTCCTGCTGCTAGGATCTCACTCTGGCCTCACCTCAGGTCCCCAGTCCTAGAGATCTCAGTTGAACTTGGATGAGATACCAAGAGTGTAATATTTATTCCAGAGTGACGTGGAGCAGCCTCAAGGGGTAAGAGTGGACAATGGCCAACCCACATTTTTTGATAAGTTTTGTATTTATGTTACTGTTTAAAGTCCTTTCCTGAGGAGTGTTTTCTTGTCTGGGTGATTGGCAGCCCTGTTTAGGTTAGTTCTTAAAGGGGAGGGACATAATTTCTTCTCTACAGAAACCTTCTAACTAGATAGAGATGTCAGGATCTTCTAGGCAGTTTATAAAGGTCCTGTCTCCACCCGGGGGCAGAGATCGCACCAGACCTCACTCTCAGGACCACAGAGAATGTGTGGCGGAGCAGATGAGAAGAACTAGAGAAAGAAATCTGTAAACTCAGCCATGCTTCGCCAGGAATTGCCTTTCTTGGGCAGATAGCAACAGAGCCCGCTGCCTCAGCCTGCGCCACAGAGCCTGCTGCCTCAGCCTATGCAACAGAGCCTGCTGCCTCAGCCTATGCAACAGAGCCTGCTGCCTCAGCCTGCGCCACAGAGCCTGCTGCCTCAGCCTATGCAACAGAGCCCGCTGCCTCAGCCTGCGCCATAGAGCCCTGCTTCCTCAGCCTGCGCCACAGAGTCCGCTGCCTCAGCCTGCAGACCTTCTGTGTCTCTCCTCTCACACAGCATTTTAAAGTTCAAGGCGGTGCAGCTGTGATCCGTCACCATTCCTTTGCCTGTCACTAATTCTCACTAGCACAATTACCAGGGGCATGGGACTTAGGGCAGAGCTGATTCTTTGGGATGGAATCAGGTCTAGGTGACCTCAAGATTGCTATTTTCTAACTATCTACCTACTGGGTTTTTTTTTTTCCTTTTATTGCCTCATTTTCAAATGCATCCAGGTGGTCCTGACAGCTTGCTAACGCGCACTGGTGAATGAGAGGCTAGGCTCCCAGAGACCCACGCCATCCACCTCCACCCTCTGCAGTTTTGATTTGCAAAACCGGTGTTTGCGCATGTTCTTATTAATGTACAGCAGTCTTAAATTTTTTTGAGGTTTTGGTTTGATGTATATAAGCAGCTGCATGTGTGTCTTTTCACTGTGCGTATGCAGTGCCCATGGAGGCCAGAAGAGGGCATTAGATTCCCCCAGGGCTGGAGTTAGCTGTGAGCTGATGTGTGGGAACTGAACCAGAGTCTTTCAGAGGAACAGCCAGTGTTAACTTCTTACTCATCTCTCCAGGCCTCTGCAAGTGTTTGTTTGTTTGTTTGTTTTAATACGAATTGATGCTATCCTGTCATTGCTATTCTGAGATAAATACGGGGAGTCCTCAAGGCCACCCAGAGTTTGAGAACCAAAAGTAACCAACCCTCAGGAATCTCTGCCTTAACGCATCCTATCCAGCGTGGGAACGAGGAAATCGGCTTCCTGCCCTTACCATTTTCAATGCATCACTGTCTACTCCCCTCCAGTGTCCTGAGACCCAGCTAACGGTTTCATTCTGCTTCCCCAGCACCATCATCAAGGGACCAGATGAAGTCATCCCAGGAGGAAACTTCAGCCTCTACGCTGTGAAGAGCTGCTGCGAGCTGCTGAAGCCATCGACTCTGAACTGCAGCTGGGTCCCTCCTGCTACACCATGAGCTCAGCCCTGCATCCGACGGGATTCTGAATGCAGATGCTAGGCTTTCTGCTCTGGAAGGGATAGCAAGCATTGCTCCAGGTTGATGACTCCAGCATGGACTCAGCTTTAATGGCAAAGAAGGAAGAAAGTCTGGAGTGCATCCTTCCTGCGACAGTGTGTCCTGCTTCCTCCCTTCTCAGCCCACCTCTTCCCATGGAGAGCTCCTATGATGACGTCCCAAACCATGGTGTGTGATCTCCAGTCCAAATAATGTTCTATTTTCAAGGATTTCATGAGAAAATATGTGTGTGTGAGCATCTATGTGGTAGCTATCAACAACTGGACTATGACTCGGCCATACCCTCTTTCAGTGCTCTAAGTATTTCAGAGAGATGGGATTTAAACACATCTCAAGGAAGGCCATCCTACCTTCTCTCAAGGCTGTCTGAAATACCTTCAGTTTGACTCTCATGGGAAGAAGGGCTAATCTGCAATGACCTACTCATAGGTTACCCTCTCCTTAAATCAAGAGTCCTTCAGCAAATCACAGAGGCCATGTGGAACCCAATCTAAGTCCGCAAACTTCAGAGAATTCTAAGCAATCAGTTTACAGAAACTTTGGCTGCAGTTCCTCCCCGAAACTTTAACGTCTCACAAATCTTTTTCTCCTATATGTAAAATGCTCAGTTTCAGGACTGAAGTCTCGTGAACTTCAGGAATTTGTAAGCATTCAGGCCACATCTTCTTTAAATTAATATATTTTCTTAAGAATATCTTTTACCTGTTCTTTGACAGTTTTACACGTGCATATAATGTATCTTGATCATGCCTAGCCCCAGCTCCCAGTCTCCCTTCCCTCTCCTCTCAGACATGGCTCACCATGCCCCATCTCTTTGCTTTGTAACTCACTGAGTCTCTCACTGCCTGCTGGGGGACTTGATCTTCTGCAAGTAACCATATCTATATTAAGCTCGGGAAGGCAGGCCCGAGGCATGTCCAGAAGACAGTATTTCACTGTGATCTTCCTATTGCCTGGCTCTCACAGACTCCCCACCCCTGTGTGTTACCCCTGTGTCTTGAGGGAGTTTGTAGAAATGCCTGGCTTTTGGATGAGCACTCAGTAGTCACTAATTCTCAGCACATTTATCAATTAGGAGTCTCTGCATTGCTGAATTTGGACTTAATCTATGTGTCCATTTCTAGTATCTAGGCCAAAGAAGCAGCCCCTATAGGGGGCTCGCAGACCTTAGGGAAACATGTAGAAACAACATGACACCTCCTAAAACTTCTTCTGGGAGCCAGATTTGGCCCACTCCTGTAATCCCAGCACTTGGGAACGGAGACAGGAAGATTATGAGTTCCAAACCAGCATAGGGCACCTAGCAAGACGGTGTCTCCAAGCAACAACAACAGACTTCTGCAAGGTCATAACACCCTTCCTTTCCACAATATGCTATGAGCCAAAGAAAGACCTGTGGCACTCATGGTATCTGTGGCCACAAATGAATTGTCCTGTCACAAGAAGAGAACAGTGACCACTTTAAAGAAATAATACAGTAGGCTACCAAGGTGCCTGATATCCATGTCTCTGTCCTTGGGTAGACTGTATTTACAGGCCTGTGAATTATTATTAATGTGCAATTTTGTTATGTTCTTGATGACAAGATTGTAAAACATTACTCCTCAGTCAGAAAGACCTGTAAGGACCAACCACGAAGGGAAATCAATGCTGACCGAGACGGGAATGCCTTTCATCGATTCTCCCATCAACCAGCAAGACATCACACGTGCTTACTGAACTCTGGGTTTGGAAGATGTCAGCGGAGCAGTGCAGACACCAGGCCGAGGAAAACCTCAACACCTCTGAGTCTCACGGGGACTCCAAAGGGAGAGCCTCGCCGGGGAAAGGGTGATGCAGCGCCTTGAATGGTTTATTCTGTCTCCCTTCTGAGCATACACAGGAGCAATTTTTAAAATAATCTACATGTAAATAGTCGGAATTATTTGTGGTTTTTGCTCTAGGTTTGGTGGAATGGAAGGAGGAGTTGCTTATCCAAAGGATGTTTTATACCTGAAGTGAAAAGGTCAAGATAGTCTAGTTTTTTTATTATTTACATCAGTCCCAATCTTTAGACTTTAGGAAAATCCATTCGCATGTCTTTGTAAGCCTTAAGGTTTCATTGCAGCCGACGGTACGACATCACGAGTGGCAATTATTCCCGCGTTGCCTGTTTTTTGTCTGCTGTAGCTATTGTCTTCTTTCTGATGCTTGCTAACGCACTGATTTTTTTTTTCTCTAGTATGTTTTTCTTCCTGAGAACCACCAAGAGAACCTCTTGGCTGCTTTTAGTGTGCCTGTCTGTCAAGCTAGTTTTGTTTTTGTTTTTGTTTTTTTGGGTTTTTTTTGGTTTTTGTCATTATGTTTCCTTGAATGTTTAACTCTTCTCTGAGTTTACTGGCTTGCTTCAGGGAAATCAGTTGCCACTGTGTTTGTCAACAGGTTTTCCTCCTGAGTTTGTAAAAATGGACATTTGTGATGAAAGCAATGATTGTGTTGAAAACTGGAAGAGAAAAACCTAACATATGTAATAGTTTTATATAAACGTAACTAAGCTTCTTTCTCTCCACTCTGGCCAGCAGAGTCAAAGAGGTCACTGGTAATGGACTGGTATACGCACCTTGCTTCTCGTTAATACAACATACAGGAGCATGAAGGGAGTGTGTGACTATGAAGACCAAGCATTTGCAGGCTACATCCCACTTCCTCTTTACAGCTGGTGAAATACCTGGAATACTCCTACACCTTTCTGTTTAGAGTTCTGGCTTTAGCTCTTCCTTCTCGCCTTTTTTAAGTGAGGTAACATAATGCCAAGGAGGGGATGGAGTTAGACATTCCCCAGAGTTCAGATTTTGAGTATTTCCCAAAGGTCTGTGGGTTGAAGGCTTGGTTCGCAGCCTGTGACACTGCTGAAGGTGGTGGACGCTCTATTCGCTGTCCCCAGGCCGTGTAAATAGAACCAAGTTAGATCACCTGGTAAAGTGGCCACTGTCACTATGCAACCCTTCATGGCCTGGAAGTCACTATGTAGACCAGTAAGATGCTCCCTAAAAGAGAGTGGGATACAATCAAACAATGTGTAAGTTAAGATTACCACATAGCCATCATGTTTTTAAAAAAAAAAAAACAGTAAAGCATAAGATCAATTTTAAAGTATCATTTCAAGGAGATGTTTTATATTCCCTTATCAAATGAAGACTTTAGAATCCAGTGTGCCTACCTCAAACGAGGTATTGAAATTTTACCAGAAATGCTTTATCTGTATTTAGATTGCATAAAATTTAAAATTAAAAAGTAAATTCACATACCCAGGTTCTCCTAAGCATGCTGAGTCTCCAGATAATAGAAATTAATGGCTTTTAAATATCAGCTCACTGCTGCCTCCTCGAGAGACTGCTAAGGGAGGTGTTTGGGGCCATTTGATTTTCTCTGGCTTCCATAGGCACAGAAGCAGTGGCTACCGTTCTCACAGCTCATTCTCTCCCCAGCTGCTCACCGTTCTGTGCCCCCAGGTGTTCCAGGCCTCAGCTGGCCCACAACGGGACATTCACTTTGGAGAATTCTGCAACCTAAAAGTTGCCAAAAGCCACAGGATATCAAATAAAGATTCCAACATCGGGTGTGGGATACCTGCCTGTAGTCGGACCACTGGCACCCCGATAATGACACGGAGACTTATTAATTACGAGAGCTCAGCCGATAGCTTAAGCTTGTCTCTAACTAGCTCTTATAATTTAATGTCTATTAATTTGCTTTCTGCCTTGTGGCTTTATTACCTTTATTGTACACTGCCCATGTCCAGCTGGGGACTCCACTATCTTCTTCCCAGTGTTTTCTCTGCCCCCAAAATCCCACCTACCTATTGTCCATGGCTTGGGATTCCTAGACCCCAAGAGCGAATCTACTCCTACTATTTTCTAAGTACATATTTCTCTGCCCACAGATTAGTGTAGCCCTCAGACCTCATCAGAGAACTTCCTCTGGCATTGGACAGTGGCTAATGCAGAAACTCAACTAATCAGGGTGCAGAAAATCAATGTCTGTAGAGCGCTCAGCCTTAGATGAGGAATTTATATCTACCCTTTCCCACTGCTCAGGGAGCACCACAGAGAGAGGCCAGTGGCGAAGGTGCAGTCTCAATAGCGAAGAACCCAGAATAGAGGGGATCATAAAAAGGAGGTAAAATGAAAATACGTTGGGCACATGCATGATTTTTTTAAAAAATATTTATTTATTTAGTATACAATATTCTGTCTTTGTGTATGTCTGCAGGCCAGAAGAGGGCACCAGACCTCATTACAGATGGTTGTGAGCCACCATGTGGTTGCCAGGAATTGAACTCAGGACGTTTGGAAGAGCAGGCAATGCTCTTAACCACTGAGCCAATTCTCTAGACCATATTTTTCAGAGAATTAACAAAAATGTGTTTTTTTTAAATCCCCAACCTTCTCTTTACATTGTATGAAAGTGCCTTTTCATACTTGGCATTATGGTCCCAAATGTGAGATTCCCAATTTTATAAATGAGCCCTCTGTCCCTGGGGAGACCTTAGCATCTCAGCCAAGAGTAGACTAGAGTCGTGAGATACACATCATTTTCTTTGTTCTCCCCTCCCCCATTGGTAAAATCAGCATATCCGCACACCTGAGTGACAGGGTCCCTGGAGCTAGGCAGAGCTCTAATCTGCATTCATTTTGCAAATATCCCCACCTAACTGCTATCAGATTTCTGTAGTTTAATTAGGCTGCCAGGGAACTCTAAACAGCAGTGACGTGCCCTGCCCAGGGGGCTGAGCCCCAATTCCCAAATGATTCTGTCGGGCATGAGTATGAAGAAGGGATTGGAAGCCAACAAAGACCCAGGCCACCAGGAAAGACTACTGCCTACTAGGCAGGGCCTGGGGACTAAGGAGGGGTAATCTGGTTCTCCTCAGCCTTGTGTTCTAATGAGCCAGTGGGTCCCGAGAGAGGTCATTTTCTGTGTTTCTTAAAGATTTATTTGGATTATTTTTTCGTGTTGTACGAGCATCTGCCTACATGTATGTATGGGTACCACAAGCATATTCGATGCCCATAGAGGAGAGCACTGAGTCTCCTGGAACTGTCTTAGAGGAAGCTGTAAGTCACTGTGGGTGCCAGGAACTGAACCCAGGTCTCGGGAAGAACAGCAAGCGCTTTTAACCATTGAATCGTCTGCCTCTCGGCCTCCGAGAGGCTATTTTTCATAGGCTGCTACTAATTTTGTTTAACCCCAAGCAAATGAATACATTCATTCATTCTATTCCCTGCTCTAAAGACCATGCGAGCCTCTGATGAAAGGATATTATCCTGAACATCCCACTGGCCACATCACTACAGGCCATCTGCCGTGAGTCCTTCTGACCCTGGTCGTAGACAATGCTGTGTTTCAGGAAGCGCTGAGAAGTAAATCAATTCCCATCAAGTCAGCCCTTCCAAACTACCATGCATTTTGCAAAAATGGAAGGGCAGCTCTTGTGCTGGCTGGTTTATGTCAACCTGACACAAACTACAATAGTCTGAGAGGAGGGGCCTCAACTGAGAAAACGCCTCCACACGAGAAAGCTGTGAGCCGTGCATGGTGGCGCATACTTTTAATCCCAGCCCTCAGGAGGCAAAGGCAGGCAGATCTCTTTGAGTTTGAGGCCAGCCTGGTCTACAGAGTGAGTTCCAGCATAGCCAGGGCTACACAGTGAAACCCTGTCTCAAAAAAGCAACAGCAATATTAGCTCAGGCTGTGGTCAAGCCTATGTAGCACTTTTGTAATTAGTGATTGATGTGGAAGGGCCCCGCCCATTGTGGGAGGGGCCACCCCTAGGCTGGTGGTCCTGGGTTCTATAAGAAAGCAGACTGAGCTAGTCAGGGGGAAAAAGCTGGTAAGCAGCACCTCTCTGTGATCTCTGCACCAGTTCCTGCCTCCAGGTTCCTGTTCTATTTGAGTTCCTGCCCTAAGGGCATTTGATGATGAACTGTGATAGGGAAATAAGCTCAGGTGGAGAGGGGGGAGGGGAGGGGAGTCCATGACCTTCACAGTCAGCAGAGTGACAGCAAGTAGGCAAAAACCGGTGTTAGAAACTTGAAGACCCTCGGAACCTACTGGTTTCTTTGAGAGATTTCAAAGATTCCTGGATTCAGGGGGCGATCAAGAAGGCCAGTGTGCTGATTCATTTTCATCCACTTGACACAAACCAGAACCACCTGGAAAGAGGGAGCCTCTATTGAGAAAATGCTCCCATCAGCTTGACCTGTAAGTCAATGTTGCAGGGCATTGTCTTGACTAATGATTGGTGTGAATGTGACTGTCCCCTGAGGGCAGTGCCACCCTTACGTTGGTGGCTCTGGGCTGCAGAAGAAAGCAAACTCCACGAGCCATGGAGAATGAGCCAGCAAGCAGCATTCCTCCATGGCCTCTGCATCAGCTCCTGCTTCCATGCTCCTGCCTTGGGCTCCTGGCCCTTGCTTCCTTCTGTGATGGATTGTGGTCTCTCTGTAAGGTGAAATTAAACCCTTCCTCCTGGCTGTGTTTTATCTGAGACAACCAGCATTGCCTAGCTTCCCAAAGGAGCAAGGCAGAATGCCACAGAGTCCCTTCATGCTGAAGGGGATGTGGGACCTGTCTCCCACAAGTTTGAGAAAAATCATTTGGCTTTTCACTTCATGTGGATATAGTGTAAGAACAGTAGTGGAGGTGGAGAGGAAATGTGAAAAGGGGGTGTTCGGAAGTGCTAGAGAAAAGCCGCTGTGCACACATCCTGAACCTTGCACAACAGAGCACACCCCCAGCAGCCTGTGACACAGAGCACCGCCAGCTGAAAATCGTGCTATTCGGTTGTTATTTAAAAAATTACCCCTGCCTATCTAGAAGATGGGCCAGTTCTATCACACGCGTGTCTGTCTCGTGCGAATTATATGGCCAAACACAACCTACAATCCAGGGACCCCAACACTGAGAGCCTGCGGCAGGAGGATCAAGAGGTGGAAGCCAGCCTGGGCTACACAGTGAGACTCCACGAAAAGAGAAGGGAGACAGAAACAGAAAGAATGAGAAAGAAAGGAAGAGAGAGATGGAAAGAGGAAGGAGGGGGAAGATAAGAGCCTGTGGCCCACCTGGCAGGAGCCGCTAAGAGTAGAGAACCTCTTGATCTCCTTCCATCCCTTCATCAGAGTCAGCCTTGGAGAGCAAATTGTCCAGAAGGTGCGTGTTTCCATGGCTACCTAACCAAACAGAAGGAAACAATATGCTGGGACCCAGGAGAGGTCCTTTTGTTGCAGAGTGACTTGACTACTGTTTCCATAGTAACAGACCAAGGAGTCCTCCTCCCGCTAGAGACAAGTGCAGAATGCGATGTGCTCAGGGAGGCTGCAGCTGGATACTCAGGGTTTTTGTTTGCTCAGATGCTACTCAAGTATTCAGAAAGAATCCAATCAGAATTCTATTTAAAGCGGGCAGTGAATGGAGGATGCTCGGCTCTTTTCTGAGCCTCTAGATAACATGAAAATGAAATTTATTTTTTTCTTATGTTCCTAAATTGTTATGTGTTCTTCCTGAATCTGTGT